GCCCTGAGGGGCCCTTAGATATCGGAAATTGGGTAGGGAAAGGGAGGCTCAACATGTGAATTCTGAACCCCCCACCCAGGGGCCTCAGCCTACTTCAGATTACTCGTTACGCAGTAAGGTTCAGAGCAGCTGTGTTTGTTTTCAGAACCAATCCCCACCCAGAGGTGGGACCAGGCCCCTGTCCGCTCCTCACCCTATACAGCAAAGTTCCAGCAGTTCCAGGGGATGATCAGCAGAGATGCAGACGCCCACAGTTGCTGGGGCGCTGGACCCTTCTATACTGGACACAGGGTGAGGCCTGAAAGTCCAGGCACCCTGAGGAGCTGGGCAAACTAGGAGAGAAAATGGCGCTGGGAGAAAGGAAAGTTACACCCTGGACAGGCAACCTGTGAAGAAGTGGCTCCCGGGTGGGCCAAAAAGCCTCATCCTACGCGGTCTCATTGACCTAAGCTCCACCCTGAATGCCTCCAGTGTGAGGTGCTGGACTGGCTCTGGGCTGCCTGCTTGGGTTGAGGGTTTGCTCTGAGGAGAGGCATGTGTTTCTCGCACGACTGTCACAAGTGAGTGAGGGCTCCGGAGGTGGAGGGCCCGAGAGGGTGGGGAGCTCAGGCGTCAGCGATAGCCAGATTTCCGTCCACCCATCCGTCCGTCCGTCCATCCATCCATCCATCCATCCAATCAAGCCATACCGGATTCTTCAGGAATCCAGTCATTCATTTATATTTAGGTTAAAGACCCTCTCTCTGGTTCCTCTCTAGAACGCAGTCTCGAGCCGCTCCCGGAGCGGACCAAGGCCCTCTCCCGGCCGGGTCATCTACAGCCCCGCCCCTCATTTGCCTCGCTCCATTCCCCTAACCTTGGCGTTCTGTCGTCAGGCCCCGCCTTCTTTGTTTCGTCACTCGGTCGCTTACCTTAACTCTAGGTAGGAGCACTCAGCAAGGATACTGTCCTCTGCTGCTGTTGCCATGGCGACTATTTCAACGCCCTGCCTCTTCACCCCAGGAAAACCTTAGCGGAACCTGTCACCATGGAAACGAACTCTCCGTACTCCTAGCACGCATTGGGCTGGCCCTGCCGCGTCGACAGGGGAGGAGCAAAACGCAACAAAAACGGGATTAATTCCTCAGAGGCCGCGCCCCCTCCGAAGAAGGCCCCACCCTGTCCCGGTCTCACCCCTCCTCGAAATACTAATTCAAGGAAATACTCCGCGAATACTGGGGATGTGTCTTGCCCCCCGGTTCCCTCAAGGCCCACGGTCGCTTGAATTCCACAGGAAGTCCTCCCGGACCTCTCAGGGTGATCCCCTCCGGAAGCCCAGCCTCAGCCTCGCAAAGCCTCTAGTCGTTGACCTTTTCGTTGCGATTATATTCGAGAGGGAGCTTCAGAAGGCGCCAAGAGGTTCCCCTGTGCTTCCCCTTTGCCCTTTGCCCTTTGCCCTTTGCCCTTTGCCCTCTTCGCTTCAAGAGGAGCCTTGGCTCTCTGATTCTTTTTATTATTTATTTTGTTTTGTTTTGTTTTGTTTTTTTTGAGGCGGAGTCTTGCTCCGTCTTTATATTTAGGTTAAAGACCCTCTCTCTGGTTCCTCTCTAGAACGCAGTCTCGATCCGCTCCCGGAACAGACCAAGGCCCTCTCCCGGCCGGGTCATCTGCAGCGCCCCCCCTCATTTGCCTCGCTCCATTCCCCTAACCAGGCTGGAGTGCAATGGCGCTATCTCGGCTCACCGCAACCTCCTCCTCCCGGGTTCAAGCGGTTCTCCTGCCTCAGCCTCCTGAGTAGCTGGGACTACAGGCGCGCGCCACCACTCCCGGCTAATTTTTATATGTTTAGTAGAGACGGGGTTTCACCATATTTTCTAGGATGGTCTCGATCTCTCTCTCTCTCTTTTTTTTTTTTTTTTTTGTAGAGGTTGTTTTTTTTTTTTTCCCCGGGTTGGGGTGCGATGGTACAATCTCGGCTCACTGCAACCTCCATCTCCCGGGTTCAAGCATTTCTCCTGCCTCAGCCTCCTGAGTAGCTGGGATTACAGACGCATGCCACCATGCCCGGCTAATTTTTTGTGTTTCTAGTGGAGACGGGGTTTCACCATGTTGGGCCAGGCTGGTCTTGAACTCCTGACCTCAGGCGATCCACCCGCCCCAGCCTCCCAAAGTGCTGGGGTTACAGGCGTCAGCCACTGCGCCCGGCAGGATCTCTTGACCTTGTGATCCGCCCGCCTTGGCCTCCCAAAGTGCTAGGATTGCAGGCGTGAGCCACCGCGCCCGGGCCTCTGATTCTTTTTGTCTATCACTCTGTGCACTCATTCATTCAAGACATTTATGTAGGTGCCCGGCGTTCCTCCCCGGTTCTCCACTACTCTGGCTTTTCTCCAATACAATTTATTTTATTTTATTTTATGTTTTATTTTATTTTATTTTATTTATTTTATTTTGGACGGAGTCTCACTCTGTCGCCCAGGCTAGAGTGCAGTGATGTGATCTCGGCTCACTGCAACCTCCGCCTCCCAGGTTCAAGCGATTCTCCTGCCTCAGCCTCCTGAGTAGCTGGGATTACAGGAGGGTGCCACCACACCTGGCTAATGTTTTTGTATTTTTGGTAGAGACGGGGTTTCACCATGTTGCTCAGGCTGGTTGCAAACTCCTGACCTCGAATGATCCCCCCACCTCGGCCTCCCAAAGTGCTGGGATTACAGGCATGAGCCACCGGGCCAGGCCAATTTATTTTATTTTTAAAGTATTATTGTTGTTATTTGAGACAGCAGTGGCGCGATCACTGCAGCCTCGACCTCCTGGGTTCAAGCGATCCTCCCACCTCAGCCTCCCGAGTAGCTGGGACTAAAGGCATACGCCGCCACGCCCCGCTAATTGTTTTCTACTTTTTCTTGTAGGGATGGGTTCTCGCTATGTTGCCCAGACTGGTCTCCAACTCTTGGGCTCAAGAGATCCTCCCTCCTTGGCCTCCCAAGGTAATGGGGTTACAGTTGTGAGCCACTGGGCCCAGTGTGAGCCACTGCGCCCAGCCTAATACAGTTTGTTGTTGTTGTTATTTTTGTTTTTTTGAGACGGAGTTTCATTCTTGTTGCCCAAGCTGGAGTGCAATGACGCGATCTCGGCTCACTGCAACCTCCGCCTCCCGTGTTCAAGCGATTCTCCTGCCGGTGCGCGCCACCACGCCCGGCTAATTTTTTGTATTTGTAGTAGAAACGGGGTTTCACCATGTTAGCCAGGCTGGTCGCGAAATCCTGACCTCAGGTGATCCACTCACCTCGGCCTCCTAAAGTGCTGGGATTATAGGCGTGAGCCACCGCAGTCCGGCTGTAATATAGTTTTTAAATGTATTCATTCCAAGGCTCTTGGGGAGTGCTCAGTGGCGTGCCTGTTGCCTCTCATATTTCTTTCTTCCCTCAGTCTTTTTGGGAGGGCCTCTCCCGTCTGTTTCTTCCCGTCTTCCCTGTTATCATCCTGAGACTGGATAGTTCTTGGATAGTCTGGGAGGTAGCAGGGAACCCAAGTTCGGAGCCTCGACCGACCAGAACCTCCAGACGGGAAATTGGAGCAGGTGGTGTCGTTCCCGGACGCTGAGGACGCTCTCCGCCCCTAACCCACAGCCAAACGATCCTAAAAGTAAAAACACGGAGTTTCTGAGTCAAGACTGAGCTGGCAGGGTGGGGACCGAATAGGCGAGGTTGGGAAGCCCAGCGGGTCCCCAGCGGAGAAAATGGGTGAGACGCCTCGGGCCGCGGTCTCCAGAATTCGCCTGGGAGGTGGGGTGGCGCTACGGCGCCGCCTTTCTGGGGAGCCGCCTCAGGCTCTGGATGTCCGCTGGGGCCAGACGTTTGGGTCCCGACCTGCGGTTCGCACTTCCCAGGTTTCTTCCCCAGGGAACAGAGCTTGAGCAGGGGGCCACCCCCGCGTCCTACCGGAGCTCTGAGGTGCGGTGAGGCGCGGAGAGCGAACGCGCAGCGCCAGATTCTGTGGGCGCCGGAGATCAGGCCCACTGAGCCGCAGCTGAACTTAGGCGGGGCAGGAAAAAGGATGAGGTGGGGGAAGGCGCTGGGTTCCCGGAACCCCAAGGGGACACTGAGCTGAGTACGTATCGCTTGGGATCCAGGTGTCCTCGTTTTGGGATGTCTGACAGGTGTCCCCAGGGTATGAGAAGTGGGACTGGGCACCCCCTATTTTCTGGTGTGTTTTTTTGTTTGCTTTTTTTCTTTTTTTTTTTTTTTTGAGACGCACCACGTTTCCTATCTTGGAAAATGGTACCACTTCTTTGTGCAAGCCTACCCCAGTTCCCTCATCCCTCGTTGAGTCCAACAGCAAATCTGTCCAGTCTTCTAAATGTATCTCAGGTTCAGTAGCCCCACCTCCTCGTTCCTGCCCATCTTCTGCTGGACCAGTCCGCCATCTTGTGACCGGACTTGGGAATAGCGTGCTGCTTCCCGGCGGCCTCCACTCTTGACCCAAATGCAATGTGCAGCCATGGCAATCTTTTACAAACAGAAATCGGATCAGGTTACTCCTCTGCCGAAATCCCTCAGGTCAGTGGTTTAACTGTCGAAGTGCTCCTGGCAGCACTCCGCCCTCCCCACATCATTGACGATTGACTTGTCTCCCCTACTAGACTGTGCCCTGTGAGGGTGGAGACTTTGTGCACGGTTGTATCCCCAAGACCTGATGCAGTGATTCAGTAAACATCTGTCCAATTGGCCGGGCGCGGTGGCTCAAGCCTGTAATCCCAGCACTTTGGGAGGCCGAGACGGGCGGATCACGAGGTCAGGAGATCGAGACCATCCTGGCTAACACGGTGAAACCCCGTCTCTACTAAAAAATACAAAAAAAACTAGCCGGGTGAGATGGCGGGCGCCTGTAGTCCCAGCTACTCGGGAGGCTGAGGCAGGAGAATGGCATAAACCCGGGAGGCGGAGCTTGCAGTGAGCTGAGATCCGGCCACTGCACTCCAGCCTGGGCGACAGAGCAAGACTCCGTCTCAAAAAAAAAAAAAAAAAAAAAAAAAAAAATCTGTCCAATTAATAGGAAATAAAGTTCCCTTTCTCATTCCCCTATTGCTGGACCCCTGCCCTCAAGCAGGATGTTATGCCCCAGAGTGGCTGTGGGTGAGAACATTCTGCCCCTCTGGCTGGTCTGGCACTGATTTCCACCCTGAGTTGGTGTTGCCTCTCTCCTTCCTCTTGGCCAACCTCTCTTCCACCAATATAAGCCCAAACTGGAGGCCAGCAAGCAGTCATGCGTTTTATGGCAGGCCCTGCAGGGAGCCAGAATTCGGGTCCCATGTGCTTCCACAGCAGCCTCCAAGCCCTGTACACCGTCCTCTTAATAGTGCTGGTCATGATGAGCTTGGTGTTTGGTAAGTGGTTCCAAGGGTTCAGAAGGGTCTCCTGGCCTGCTGGATGGAGAAACCCACAGACACCAAGCGTCTGGGTACATTTGTCCAGGATGCTCAGGTAAACCCACGCAGGAGGAGAGATGGAATGGATGGGTTTGGTGGGGAATGCCTGCTCATGGACTGATACGCAATCTGAAGATTTATTTATTTATTGAGATGGAGTCTTGCTCTGTCTCCCAGGCTGGAGTACAGTGGTGAGATCTCGGCTCACTGCAACCTCCACCTCCCGGGTTCAAGCGATTCTCATGCCTCAGCCTCCTGAGTAACTGAGATTACAGGCACGAGCCACCATGCCCAGCTAATTTTTGTATTTTTAGTAGAGACAGGGTTTCGCCATGTTGGCCAGGCTGGTCTTGAACTCCTGACCTCAGGTATCTGCCCACCTCAGCCTCCCAAAGTGCTGGGGTTACAGGCATGAGCCACCACACCCGGCCTCTGAAGATTTCTAGTGACCACCCCAGGGCTGTCTCACTTCACAGCAGTGACCTGAATAGAGATACTGAAGGAATCTTCTCCAGATCTGAGGGCAACATGGAATAGGGAGGTTTAGGGAGTGTGCTGGATGACAGAACTAGAATCCACAGGATAGAACAAGACTGAGTGGCCGGGCGCGGTGGCTCAAGCCTGTAATCCCAGCACTTTGGGAGGCCGAGACGGGCGGATCACGAGGTCAGGAGATCGAGACCATCCTGGCTAACACGGTGAAACCCCGTCTCTACTAAAAATACAAAAAACTAGCCGGGCGAGGTGGCAGGCGCCTGTAGTCCCAGCTACTCCGGAGGCTGAGGCAGGAGAATGGTGTAAACCCGGGAGGCGGAGCTTGCAGTGAGCTGAGATCCGGCCACTGCAGTCCAGCCCGGGCTACAGAGCAAGACTCCGTCTCAAAAAAAAAAAAAAAAAAAAAAAAAGAACAACACTGAGTCCAGCCTGCTGGGCTCCCCACTTGGCTGCAAAGCACCAGCCACAGAGACACAGGATTCAAAGTGTTCATTGAGCACTTTCCTCTGCCTCACACCAAATGCTCTGCTGGGTCTGGGGACTTGTTAACGTGTGGCCTGGCCTTAGGACCAGAGGAAAAGGGGGATGTATGTGTATGCAGTTGGGGAAGGAAGCAGAGAATTGGGGCTTTGATGGTTTTCTGAGATAGGAAGGGAGGGAGCAGTGGGGTTGAGTGGCCTGCAATCAGACAGTGGTGGGGTGTGAGGGAGAATGGGGTGTGAGTGGGGTCAGCACTTCTCTGTGTTCTAGGTAAGTTTGTTCCTGTCAATTGGGAACACCCTCAACCACTTCCAGTCCCCAAATACCTGCGCTGCTACCGATGCCTCTTGGAGACCAAGGAGTTAGGGTGCCTTCTGGGATCTGACATCTGCCTCACCCCAGCTGGCAGCAGCTGCATCACTCTCCACATAAAGAACGGTAAGTGACCTTCTCCTGTCGTGGGCCCAGCACTCTCCCAGACTGAAACTCTCTCAGCCTCCTAAGCTGCACCCCAAATCTTCTTCTCATAATCCCATAAGACACTGCTCTAATCCTGTCTTTTTTAAATTATTATTATTATTATTATTATTATTTTTGCTGCTCTGTCACCCAGGCTGGAGTGCAGTGTCGCAATCTTGGCTCACTACAATGTCCACCTCCCCAGTTCAAGCAATTCTTGTGCCTCAGTCTCCCAAGCAGCTGGGATTAAAGGTGCACGCCACCACGCCCAGCTAATTTTTTGTATTTTTAGTAGAGATAGGGATTCACCATATTGGCCAGGCTGGTCTCGAACTCCTGACCTCAGGTGATCCACTGACCTCGGCTTCCCAAAGTGCTGGAATTACAGGCATGAGCCACCGCGCCCAGCCTCTCTTTCCTTTTCTTCAGAGCCACACTCTGTCTCCACTTCCACTACCTTCTCTCCTCAATCTGTAGCTGAATAGCTTCCACCCTTTCAAGGTGTGCAGCTTTGATGGGGACCCTCCAGAACTCCACGTGCCCTTGCCTGTCCTCAAGCTGCCTGCTTCCCCATCTGTGTGCAGTTACTGCTGGTGTTGCTCTTCTCCTGCATCCTCCACTGCTTCTTCAGTCTCCTTCATGGAGTGTTTTCTCTCTGACCCTTAGTGGTTCATGTTCACCAAGGTTTGATCCTTAGCTGTGTTCCCACTTCATATACTCAGAGGATTTTATCTGCTTTGCTGGCTTCAACCAGCAGCCACATACCACTTCCTTCTGAATCTGAATATTATGTCAAACTACTCTTCTCATATCCCGTTGGCCATTGGACATCTCCCTCGCTGAAAATTGACTCCTTCCTGATGCCTGCTCTTCCACCGACCCCCCCACCTTCCTTAAGTTAGCAAAAATGTAACCATAATATGTGCTAGGCACTATTCTAAACACTTGCAATCCGCTGAGGCAGGTATTACTACTATCCGCATTTTACAGATGAGGAAACTGAGGTGCAGAAAGGTCATAACCTTGCCTGAGTCTCACAGATGCTGAGCCAGAATTTGTGATGGCTCCAGAGATGGTGCTCTCAACAACCACTGCATGCAGCAGCCTGTATTCAAATCCTCTTATTACCCTTTTAACATAGCTGATGCACAGACATGCGTCAGATATCAGAGTATAAAGTACTGTCAAACCAAAGTCTCCCGCTACTACCCTAACCCACCTGGCTCCCCTGTACACGTAACCACTTTTTTTTACTTTGTGGATGATCCCTCCTGCAATCTTTTATGCACATTCCACCCTGCACAAGTATGCTGTTTACTATTTTTTCACCTCTTTTTCTCCCCCCCAACAAGATAGTAGCATCCCACTGTAAACATTATTCTGCACTTAACAGTTAGGGGAATTGAATATTCCAATATCAGTTTGTGAACAGCTTTTTTGTTTTATTGACCTGCGGTGTACTACTCCATAGCATGGGCATATCACAGCTGATTTCCCCATCCCACTATTAATGGGCATTTCAGTCATTTCTCTCAAGCAGGGCAGCAGCAAACATCCCTGTACATGACGTCTTGGGATGCAGGCACAAAGATTTTTCCCTGTTACATATAACAGCAGCAGACATCATCTTATTCTCTTACTTTTGATCTGAAAAATAAATGACGGAACACCTCCTTCCTGCCGCCCAATCTCCAAAACATTTCCCAGCTTTTTCTCACACGGTCCTATGGTGCTAGTTCTCCCCACTTGGCTCAGGAACTCCCAACTCCCCCTCCAACCAATACATTTCAAATGGCTCTTTTCCTCCAGCCTTGCATGGGAACTTCAGTGGAGTTCCATGGCTGGTGAACACTGGGCATGTCCACCCATGCCTAACCACAGGAATCTTTTCTTTTTCTTTTTCTTTTTTTGACTTATGAGTGAGGGGATGAGAGGATTTGGGGCTCTTCCTGGGGACTTCCATATCACTGGTGCCTGTGGTTCCTCCCCAGGCAGCAATTCTGACATCATGGTGAGTGACTGCCGAAGTAAGGAGCAGATGAGTGATTGTTCAAATACCCAAACTTCTCCGGTGTCTGGCTTCTGGATGTTCTCTCAATGCTGCTTCCTGGATTTCTGCAATGACCCTCAAAACAGAGGGCACTATATTTCTTAGTGTGACTGCAACAACCTTTGGTGTAAAATTCTACCAGTTTCCAGCCACCTTCATGACTTCTTTCTGGGCTTGGCCAGGACTTCTAGTCCCTCATACCAGCCCTCCTTGGCTCCCTCCAGTCAGTGGACCCCAGCCTTGGCTCTTCCTCTTGGTTGGCACCCTTCAGCACCCTTACTCCCACTCTGCACCCCCAGCCCCACTGCCCACCAGGTTTCCTCTCTTGTCCTTAGTCCCTGGATGTTTCTCCCAAATAAATTTGTGTGCAAACTGTTTAGTATGTCTCTTTCTTCTGGTGGAGGTGAAGGCTGAGGGAGGTGCACCTGCCTGACTGCCCTACCATGGGGCAGGTAAGGGGCCCCCAGCTCTGCTGAGGTCTGCTCCTGTCCTGCCTTGGTATGTGATTTGTTCTAGACACAAAAAGGGGAGAAGGAAATGAAAGCCCTCCTATGGTGAATGCCAGAAAGTTAGTGGGCATCCTGGGCAGTGCCGTCAGACCGGAGCTGTGTGGGGGCTGGAGGGGTTTAGAGGGCTATGTTGGTGGGAGGGGGGCTGCAAAAGGACCAGGCTAAGGTAGGAGGAGGTGGGCGAGAAGGCCACTCTTTTTTTTGAGACGGAGTCTCACTGTTGCCCAGGCTGGAGTGCAGTGGTGTGATCTTGGCTCATTGCAACCTCTGCCTCCCAGGTTCAAGCGATTCTTCTGCCTCAGCTTCCCGAGTAGCTGGGATTACAAGCACATGCCACCACGTCCAGCTAATTTTTGTATTTTATTAGTAGAGACGGGGTTTCACCATGTTGGCAAGGCTGGTCTCCAACTCCTGACTTCAAGTGATCTGCCTGCCTTGGCCTCCCAAAGGGCTGGGATTACAGGTGTGTCACCCCCTTGAGCCAAGAAGGCCACTCTCAGAGACGTTAGACCTATTGGAGTCTTGGTCTCTTCAATTCTGGGCCAAGTTCTTCAGCCTCTGAGGGTGTCTTCCAAGTTGACCTGCTATAAACCTGGGCCTTTCTCTGTCTTATACTGACGTCAGAGGTCACGGAGAAGGGTGGACCTAGCAAGGTGGGGGTTGGGGGGCACGTTAAGGGTTTGTACCTCTCTTTGTACTCCAACTGCTTCATGACCTAATTATCATTGGTGTCTTCCGTCAGAGTACAGGCCACAGAGATTTGTAAACACGTGTGCAAAACACTGTAGGTAAAAGTAGATGCTTTATGATGCCATGTCCATCAAGCACAGACAGAACTCATCTAAACTACTACCAGTCAGGACAGCGGCTACCCCAGAGAGCTGGGAAGAGCTCCTGGGAGGGGAACAGAGGCAGGCTTGGCTGCAGGTAAATGTCTTCACGCTGATTTTGTGGCTGGTTACACAGATGTGTAGTTTACAAAAATCCATCTTGTGATATGTTTAAGCTTCTGAATGTTTTAACAAAAAGGTTTGAAAATAAGTAAATCAGCCAGGTGAGCACGGTGGTGTGCATCTGTAGTCCCAGCTACCTGGAGGCTGAGGCAGAAGAATCTCTGGAGCCCAGGAGTTCAAGGCCAGCTTGGGCAACATAGCAAGAACCTTAGAAAAAAAAGCCGAACATTGTGTATGCATTTGACTCTAGGGCAAATATATTTTTTTTTGAGGGGGAAAAGGCCCTAACTTCCACTTATGTATGCACATTTACATGCGCCTTCTCAATCATCTGAGGCACTATCCCTACCTGACAAGTGACCAAGGTGAGGCTGAAGAGACTGACGTACCCAAGTGGTAGAGGAGCTGGGACTGGGCCTCCCAGCCACAAAGCTGCAGTGCTTTTCAGAAAAAGGTTTCATAACCCAAGCACTGGGCTGCAAGACTTGGGAAGGCAGACACCTGGCTGTACTCATCTGGGAGTCCTGCTGCTCAATACTGAGCCTGACTCAGAGCTGCGTTATGTCCAGCATGTTTATCCAGTGTATGGAAAAAGCTGAGTTGTATCCATCATTGCTTTCTATACGTTTGCACTATTCCAAAATTAAAATATTAACATGAAGATCCAACCACTGCAGCCCAACATCTCACACTTTGCCCCTCAACTTGGGCCCCCGAGAGGGCATCATGGATGCCAGAATCCTTGAAAAGAACTAAGGAATGGCAAGAGTCCAGGGCCCCAGCAGCAGGTGACTCTGGGATGTGGCTCTAAGTTCCTGAGTCTTTCTGGTTTAAAGAGAAAGTTTCTTTTTTTTTTTTTTTTGAGACAGTCTTGGTCTGTCGCCCAGGCTGGAGTACAGTGGCATGATCTCAGCTCACTGCAGCCTCTGCTTCCTGGGTTCAAGCGATTCTCCTGCCTCAGCCTCCTGAGTAGCTGGAATTAGACACCCACCACTATGCCCAGCTAATATTTTTTTGTTGTTGTTTTTAGTAGAGACGGGCTTTCACCACGTTGGTCAGGCTGGTGTCGACCTCCTGACCTCATGATCCATCTGCGTCGGCCTCCCTAAGTGCTGGAATTACAGGCAAGCCACCGCGCCGGGCCTTTTTTTTAAGACAAGAGTTTCACTCTTGTTGCCCAGTCTGGAGTGCAATGGTGCGATTTCAGCTAACCGCAACCTCCACCTCCCAGGTTCCAGCAATTCTCCTGCCTCAGCCTCCCACGTAGCTAGGATTACAGGCATGCGCCATCACACCCTAATTTTGTATTATTAGTAGCAATGGGGTTTCTCCATGCTGGTCAGGCTGGTCTCAAAACTCCCAACCTCAGGTGATCCGCCTGCCTCAGCCTCCCGAAGTGCTGGCATTGTAGGCATGAGCCACTGCGCCCTCTTTAATCTGTGTTGACCTGCCCACACCTTAGCCTGACCCCACGAACAATGCGACACCGTCTTAGCCCGGTCCCAGTTTATTGTGGAGGGAAACAGCGGACATGGAGCTGAGCAGAACAAACCCTTCCCTCTCCTCCCACAGGCCCCTAGGGAGGTGGGTGTCAGGACTCAGTGAGCTGAAATGGGGCTGAGGAGGCCAGAGACTGACGAGAGAGGACAGAAGGCAGAACAAGACCAGGACAGGCGGGGTTGGTGGAGACAGTGAGGCAGGGACACAAGACTGCCAAGTCAGGGCGTCTGCACAGAATTCTATTCCTCATCCTTTTTTTTTGGAGACAGTCTTGCTGTGTCACCCAGGCTGGAGTGCAGTGGTGCAATCTTGGCTCACTGCAACCTCTGCCTAGCGGGTTCAAGTGATTCTCCTGCCTCAGCCTCCTGAGTAGCTGGGATTACAGGCGTGTGCCACCACACCTGGCTAATTTTTGTATTTTTAACAGACAGCAGGTTTTACCATGTTGGCCAGGCTGGTCTCAAAATCCTGACCTCAAGTGATCCGCCCACCTCAGCCTCCCAAAGTGCTGGGATTACAGGCGTTAGCCACCGTGCCCAGCCTCCTCATCTTTCTTGCTGCTAGTTCAGTCTTAGAGATGAGAAACAGAGCTGGATCTAAATAGGCAGGTGACTAGATTGAGGGGAATGGGGGATACTGGAACACTCAGACAGGGAAGGAATGGAGGAACCACTGTGCCTTTCCCAGGTCAGTCTGTCTGGGCAGAATCCACACTAGAGATTCTTTTCTGGGGGGAAGAACAGCACCAGAGCTTGGCCAGGCACGGTGGCTCACACCTGTAATCCCAGCACTTTGGGAGGCCAAGGTGGACAGATTACGAGGTCAGAAGTTTGAGACCAGCCTGACCAACATGGTCAAACCCTGTCTTCACTAAAAATACATAAAATTAGCTGGGCGTGGTGGTGCACACCTGTAGTCCCAGCTACTCAGGAGGTTGAGGCAGGAGAATCGCTGGAACCCAGGAGGTGGAGGTTGCAGTGAGCAGAGATCATGCCACTGCACTCCAGCCTGGGTGACAGAGCGAGACCCCGTCTCAAACAAACAAAAAACGGCACCAAAGTTCGAGAGAGAAAATTACACCAAAGTCATATAGATGCTAGTGGTACAACAGAGGGAGGCCTAAGAAATCACAGTGACCAAAGAATATGGGTGTTTTCAGAGAGGGCAGTGCAGGATGCTGAGGGTGTTACAGAAAGATACTTGCACAGAGTGGAATTCAGGAAGGGTGAGGTGTCAGAGTACAGGCTGGGGAAGAAGCAAAAGTCCTGAACTATTGAGGAACAAGTACATGCGGCGCAGCTCAGCAAAAGACAAGCCCAGGTTCAGGGGCAGTGTGACCACAGGGTCCAGGCCATCAGGCTCCTTCCCAGCATGGAAACTGGGGACGGGTAGTGAGAGGTTCAGGGCCTGGTAGAACCATTGAATCTGGGAGTCAGACAGAGGCAGGGCCAGGGGCCTGTCATGGGGCTCCGGCAGGAAGCTCTGGAGTTGGGGGCTTGACCAGGAGTTGCAATAATCGTACTGGCAGCACTGGGCCTGATACCAGTACTCTACGAAGTAGGTGTTGCGTTTTTCTTGGCAGCGGTAGGAATAGTATTGTCCACAGCCTCGAATGACGAAGCGAACCTTGGCATCTGAGGGAGAGGGGAAAGCTGATAACCCCTTCCAATAGCTTCCCATAGTCCATGAACCCCTGCTACGGACTTTTCCCATCCCTCACCCAGACCTGACTGACTTCTAACCCAGACTCCTTCAAGAGGCTAGAAAAGTGAGCTCTGCTGGCCCCCTAGAACCTTAAACCCCTCCTTCCAAGACTTTTTTTTTTTGAGACAGGGTCTGGCTCTGTCACTCAGGCTGGAGTGTGGTGGCGCAATCTTGGCTCACTGCAACCTCCGCCTCCTGAGTTCAAGAGATCTCCCACCTCAGCCTCCCGAGTAGCTGGCACTATAGGTGCACACCACCATGCCTGGTTATTTTTTTGTAGAGACAGGGTCTCACTATGTTGCCTAGACTGGTCTTGAACTCTAGAGCTTAAGTGATCCACCTGCCTCAGCCTCCCGAAGTGCTAGGGTTACAGGCGTGAGCCATTGCACTCAGCCCCTCCTTTCTTGTACCCCATGCCCGGAGCAGCCCTGATCTGTGAGAGGAAAGAAGATCAAGCCATTGGCTGCCCCACCAGCAGCCCCTTCCTGGGACCTTATTTACCATAATAGATGGTGATCACCATGCATGGGGATGAGCTGCTGATGGTACACTTCTCTGAGCCTGAAATGCATCCTACAGAAGGGTCTTCTAAGAGGCAGAAGTGGCAGGTCCGGATGTCGGGAACAGGAACTGGGAAGGCAGAAGGAGGGATGGGGCACTGGGTCACTCTCAAATACCCCGGGCCAGTAGGAAGCCCGAGTATCCAAGGCC